TAGCAGCACATAAAAAGCCAATACTACCAAACATCATGGAAAGGAGACAAAAATATCTATTTTTAAGAAGTTTAAAAAATTTTCAGGAAAAAAGTAGTTATTTGATTAGAATGAATATAAGTTTCATTTTCTTTTTATCTTGTACAAAAATAGTAACACCCAAATATTGTAATGAGGAAGCTAAAGGCAGATTTACACACAAATCTTTTGAGTCTCTATCCATTTTTATTCACCTTTAGGAAATTTAGACAATGATGACCATATCAATATTTTGCTCAGCAGGATATTCAGGTAGACATTTCCAGTCAATTTTTGAAGGTCAAACTTTATTATAGAAGCTACACATTAAAAGATATTTTTCAGTTATAACAGGGCTAAGAGTGCAGTGAGTTACTACAGTCCTTGAATTTTTTTTGATTAACACATTTTAATTATTTTTAGAATTGCAGTTTATATTCATTCTTTTTTCTTTTATATATTTTTAAAATTTTATTTTAAAGAGTAAAAACAAAAACAAACACAGAAACAGAGTAACATATGCTTCATATGATACAGAATTCAACACAAGAATGGAAAATTAACAATGGTTGTTATATTTTGTATTTTTATCTTCAAATCTGTTGTGCTGGTTTACAGATATAGATATGCAAGACTGGTCAAATAACTAAAAATGAATGCTTTCTTTCTTTCTTTTTTTTTGCTTGCTTTCAATAAACTTTTATTTTTCTTGTTATTATTTTATTTATTTATTTATTTTTAATATTTTAATCTTTTTTAATGTTTTTATCTTTTTTAAATGTTTTTATCTTTTACTGTGAATAACTACTATGAAGACAATGATATGCAATGTATTAACTATTATAACTGTCCTACTAACCTGTTTTGAAACTGTCTCACTGCTATTTCTTTCTCATTAAAATTAATAAACAATTAAAAAACAAAAAAAGGTCCTTGAAATTTTTCAGATAAAGAAATAAGGAAACTTGGACACAGACTCTATGGATAATTATCATTAAAGATATGGGAATAAAGAAAAAAAAACCCAAATGAGACATTTCCCTTAAGAGATCAAGATAAATGGGAAATGGTGGAACCCTAAAGAAAACCCCTAAGGAAGAGAAAAAACCCGAGTGAAGTATTGAGTCTCCAAGGAATTAGACAGATCATGATTTAAGGAGTAAACACAATCCCTTCATTTCCTTTTTATGTTGAGGTCTGTTCTCTAGGAATGGGCTAAACAAGCATCTTCCATGCCTCTAGCCTAGTGCATTGTATCTTTAAACTCATGTTAAAATTTTTTGGTGTCTCATGCAGTAAGAAATGTGATAAGAAAGGCTGCTATTTTGTAGGATTAGTAATATCATTGTACATTATTACCACTCTTTCAGGAAGATATACAGGAAATATGAGAAATTAAGTCTGTGCTGAAATCTCTTGTTATTAAAACGAGGAAAAAAAGCTCAAGACCAAGAGCTTGGTATTGTCCCTCTTGTGCCACCGGGGTAAAAATCAATAAGGAAAGAGTAATTTTTTTTTTGTGGAAGTAAGCTTTGAAATCGATGCATATTAATGTCCTTGATTTTTAGCACCTCACTCAGAAATTATTAGCCATTATACTTAGATATATGATATATACAAGTTAATGTATTGACAAAAAGGTTATAAAATGATCTGAACAAAGAAAATAATTAAATAATTAACACATCCATTGCCTCTACATAGAGATCCTTGTTTTGTGAGTATTCTGCATGCATATACATGTAGTAAGAGGAGAATTAAGATATTTTTATTTAATTGTAATCACACAATGTAGTATTGTCTTTGTTATAAATATGTTGCAAAATAGATCACCAAACTTTAAATGTCTTGTGTAATTGAACAATTTTAATCTTTGGCCAACCTTGCCTGATTTTTCCTCCACTAGCCAATGACAACTAATATCCTAGTCTCTGTTTATATAAATATGTAACTATTTTACATTTAAGTGAGATGCAGAATTATTTCTCTTTGTCA